GGGGGGGGGGGGGGGGGGGGGGGGTCGAATAGATGCGGCTCAAAAAAGAAGCACCGGAGAGTGCGACGGGTATTTTCCTGCTCTTCCTCTCTTGGCAAAGGTCCCGCTGCATTCTTCCTCCTCCTGGGTGCCTCCGGCTGATGTCTGCATCGAATATCTTCCCGAAAGGTATATAGATCGGCGCCGGAATCGATGGGGAAAAAAACATTACACACAAAACACTTAACCCATACATGCTTCCCGCGAGATAATGGGCCGGTCAAAATCAAACCCGACATTTTCCCTCTGCCCCTGCATTGTTTATGTAGGGATACGAGGTCTATGGTCCATCGACTGCGGCATGCGTCTGCATTATAGTAGTACACCCCCCTCCACCCCGCAACATACCTCGTTCTGAAACATGGCAATTTTCCCAGGCGGCCCCGTTTGGGGGCTCGTGCCTGCTCATCTTCGTCACCCTGCCCTTGGCATGGATGCTGTATGGGCTGTGCCTCTGCCTGCTGGTGGCGGCGAGCAAGTGGCTCCTCGTCGGGAGGGTGAGGCCGGGGGAGACCTTCAACACGCACAGGTGCGGCGCAATTATTTTATCGAGCGAGGTGGCCTGGGCAGGTCTCTCCGATTATTATTGCAGAAGTAGTATAATAGTTGTTGTTGTTGTTGTCGTTGTTGTGGTCTTGACGTTAAAAACGTTCTGTTAGTAGTATCCGTAACGGTCCAACTGACGTGGACGGACGCCTTCCGTGGTCACAAGCCAACTACCCAAAAAGAGGGGTACACCGTTCTATAACGAATAAAAAACATGAATGTTTTGCCCCTGGCGTTACAAACAGATATGGGAAAACGACAGTACAGGGTATACCCTGGTCGAAAAGCGACACACCTAGGTACACAGTCATCAACAGCAGTAAATGCCCTCATACCATTGGTCAGCGCCCAATTTCACCCCGGTGCGTCCGAAAAGGCGCAGGGTATACCCTGCCGTGACTACTTTTCTCAACAACTGTACCCTGTTTTCGGAAATGTACCCTGATGTGTCGGGAAAAGAGACCCTTTAATTAATCATTTCCCCCGCAGGAATCTCCCCAACTCCTTTTTCCCTCCAACCATGGGATACCAAACGGCGACTCTTCCCGCCCAATGACAACCATGGCAACGGGGCAGGAATCAGTTTCAGCCCCTGCGAAACAACACCAACCATCAACTCTTCCGCTCTAAGGCAACAATGGCCGGGCAACACATATCCCAGCACAATTGTTCCGTTTGGAAACATGCACACGCGCGTACGATACCCCGTGGACGACTGCTTGCTGCAGTCTATATGCGAGACGCACGGGCCACGCTGTGAAAGCGAGACCGATCCAGCATGATTGACATGAATATGCATGTGGGCGTGCGTGTGTTGTCTGTTGTGTATCTCAATTGCGATGTGCCGTGTGTGCGTGCGTGCGTTGTCTGTTGTGTCTCAATCGCGATGTGTTTCTTGCCTGAACTGCTGCTGTAGCGGCAGCGGTCACGCTTACCAGCCGACCAAGCCGACCAATCAATGTAGTAAGAAAACGTCAGGCTTCAGCGGGATGAGCCGATGAAATACAACGCGAGCACTCACTCTTTCTTCTCTCTATCGACAGGGAGGGTGATCGAGTTACACGACACAGCAGTGTCCTGCTGCTAGAGTAAGGATAAGACTTGTGTGTGCGTGATTGATGTCAAGGGCGAGTCTGTGTGTGCTGGTCCTGCCTCTCCCCTCCTCCCTCTTTGCGGGCGCGAGCTCTCCGCCAGCACAGCGCCACACACTGGCACGTGCTATGCGTGTCAACCATGCTGGATCGGTCTCGCTTTCACAGCGTGACTCGTGCGTCTCGCATATAGACTGCAGCAAGCAGTCGTCCACGGGGTATCGTACGCGCGTGTGCATGTTTCCAAACGGAACAATTGTGCTGGGATATGTGTTGCCCGGCCATTGTTGCCTTAGAGCGGAAGAGTTGATGGTTGGTGTTGTTTCGCAGGGGCTGAAACTGATTCCTGCCCCGTTGCCATGGTTGTCATTGGGCGGGAAGAGTCGCCGTTTGGTATCCCATGGTTGGAGGGAAAAAGGAGTTGGGGAGATTCCTGCGGGGGAAATGATTAATTAAAGGGTCTCTTTTCCCGACACATCAGGGTACATTTCCGAAAACAGGGTACAGTTGTTGAGAAAAGTAGTCACGGCAGGGTATACCCTGCGCCTTTTCGGACGCACCGGGGTGAAATTGGGCGCTGACCAATGGTATGAGTGCATTTACTGCTGTTGGTGACTGTGTACCTAGGTGTGTCGCTTTTCGACCAGGGTATACCCTGTAGTGTCGTTGTCCCAACAAATATATCCTGTGTGATTGATCTTGCTCCTGTGTGCCCCCGGCTGATATACTACGTCAAAGATGTGCAGGGGTGTTTTGTTTGTTTTTTTGTTTGTTTTTCTCCCATCATTGGAGTCTGTCGTCTGCCCCTCTGGCCCCTATCCTCCACTTCTACTAGCTAGACGACCCAACCGGGGTCACATAGGAGGGGGGGGCTGGTTGGACCCCCTCCTGCGGTTCATGCCTGAGGTATTTTTATCGCGAGAAGGGTACAGCAATCCCTTCCCTCGCGACTTACGAAGTCGATTATGGTTTACTAACAAACGAGCTCTGCAGCGCGTCGCTTTCATCCTAGACCAGGACTTATTTAGTGAGAAAAAAACTCTCTCTGCCGGGACTCGAACCCATGACCTGGCCCTTAGCAGGCTGGGAGGCTACCCACTAGACCACCGGGGCGTACGTGGTGTGTATAGAGGTGTATGTATAGACTTATTCATAGGTTCAGAATAGAGGGGACGAAAACACAGCACAAAAAATTGATGATGGTGACGTCACTAGAAAATGAGTTTCTCCTGTGTGACTCCCCCTGATATACTATGCATACGTCAAAGGTATATAGTCTACACCGAGAGGCGTGTAGAATAGCGCCAGACTAGATGGGACGAAAGCACAGCACACAAAGCTGTTGGTGAAAATGATGTCACTACCTCCACGTCTGAGGCACGCCCCGACTTTTTCTCCCTATAATTTTTTAGGGTTGCGGGTGTTTTATTTTTTCAGGACTGCAGCCCGTTTCTTGACAGTCCAGTCCCGTGTCGGAACAAACATTGCCATGATTGATGGGAAAGAGCCGGGGTGGGCGTACTGTAGGGCTGAAGTCGCGTGTTAACACGACGTTCAACGGATGGACGGAACTTGAGCGACGGACAGATAACAAACAGACGATTGTTGCGGTTTGGTAAAGAGCCAGAGGGGAGGCGTTTTTGGGGAGGGGGATTAGGGGTACGTTGAAGGTCGATGATGCACGACAATATCCACTATTTACCGCGCATCCAATGCTCACCCGCCAGCATCAAGTGTTCCTGGTGCCGTAGCATCAGCACCAAATTGATCAAACAGCCCCCCCGTCCCGGAATCGCAACATGAAACGCCTTGTTTTCATCGGGAGCCCAGCTTCCGGCACCTTCTGTGGTGGACTATCCAGCGGCTGCAGAGCTTTTCTGGGCTGCTGTTTGTTGACGAGATCAGGCGAGGTCGCCTGGCGGTGTGGTATTACCGGCTCCTTGGAGCTAAGCTTGGGAGGGATGTGTTCCTGAACACTGTCAGGGTGAGGAGCTTCAGGCAGTGGTTCCGGGGGAGCCAGCTTACAGCTCACACCGTCGGGTACATGCTTGACGCACCCCACAGATGGTCGGAGGGGATGTGCTGTACGAACCAGTCGGATGTCTTTTTTTTTTCCCGTTTTTTCTGGGCTGTTTTCAATGAAATAGTAGTGGTCTCGCTCACTTCCTTGTTTGCTTGCTGGATGGGTTCGATAAGCGTACTACTTTCCATCGATTCTTTGTTCTGATGGCGGAATGTATTCATGGCGCTGGAGTTTTTTCGTGTTTATGCTTGAGCTTGTGTTCTGGTGTCGTTCATTCCCTTGACAATATTTGCGTTTTTTTCCCCTCATCTCCGAGAAAGAAAAAAAACGTGTTTTTTTTTCCTTTCTCAAGCATACACCATTAGGTGTAGACTGTAGACTGGTGCCCGGAATAGGTGGAACTACAGACGTCACCTTTTCTGTTTTCTTTTTTGCGCCGTCACTGGTTGTACAGGAGATACGTTCACCTCGGCACGCTCCTACAGGCAGCAGCCTTGGCATTTCTCGATTTAGTAAACATGTTGGATAAAGCATGCAATCGGGGAAGTTGGGTCAGGGTTAGGGTTAAGGAAAACGGTCTGCGTGTCCCCTTCCTGTTGCATTTTCTCGAGATCTTTATTACTCGCGAAGGCGGTCCCCCGATTTCCTCAATTCCTTGGTCCTGCCGTTGAGATAATTTATGCACCGATTCGATTCTTCCGGCCACAGATATCCGACCCTGACCTGGTGACCGTGGGGGACGGTAGCACCATCAACGAGCACGCCGATCTCAGCGGGCACCAGGTGATGACACGTTGCCGTTTTCTCTTTCGTGCCGTGTACTACAGCGGTACTTCCGGGAGATTTTTTTATTGCCAAGCGGTAGGTATTGCTTGAGGCACCGGACACGTTCATATATATACATGTATATTGTGCGGACATTTTTTTCCTTTTCTGTTCCGTGCGGCAGGTGTTTGGATATGTTTTGTATGTTGTGTTGGGTAGTGTTGCGGACCCGGCCCACCGTTTTTGTCGTTACCTTTACCGGTGGAGGCGGAACGAGCGTATGTTCTAGCCCTTGCCGTGAAGGCCTCACAGCGACCCAGAAGTGACGCTTCACAATGGAATATTTTAGTGTTGCATGTAGTACGTCTGCAAGTGGCGTACCGTACGTGTCTCGTTACAGAATAAAGGAATTCAGGCATGACAGCGTTATACTCGGTTCGATTTGCGCGGGAAAAAGTCGCACGCGTTGGAGAGGCGAGCGTGCTTGAGCAGATCGAAAAAGGTTAAGTTGTTTCGGAGTAGGACGGAGGATGAATGATGCGTTGGTCAATGCACGTACGCACATGAAAGGGAAGGCAGAAACGTGCATCATGTGTGTTGATCGGTCATACCAAAGAACCACGTGCATCTGATACCGAAGATACAAGCAAGGTGCTACCAAAATTTGCGCTGCAGTAAATGCGTTGAAAACCTAACATTGCAGCAGAGAACATGAAGCACCCGGCCTTTACAGCTCCAGTATCTGTTATTGCTTTGCAGAGTAAAGACGTACATACGTACTTAGTATGTACGTCGATGTGGTCGCCACCTTCGGTTAGTAGTGTTTTTGAATGTCGTCCCGTTCGAAAGTCTTGCTTCTGACGCACTGGGCGAAGACGCTGTGGAATGTTTGTTCCACACTTGTCACGATACCACCGCGCACACGTGATGCAATCAAGACCAGAGTCGCGCTGATTGCTTCACGTCTGCGCGGCGTAAGTAGTCACCAGTCTGGGACAACATGCACGGCGTCTTCGCCCACTGCGCCCGAGGCAAGACTTTCGACGGAACTACATTGTAAGTACGCCGCTACTGCTGGCGAAGACCACGTGGACCTTCATGCGTGTACCACGTGTTCACTCTTCAAAGCGAAAGCAGAAGCCAGAGACACACAGCAGTGGTCAAGCAAACCGTTGATTCGGCGCAAAACAATCGATACCCAGTTTCTGTGTTGGTGGTGGGGGGGGGGGGNGGGCTGTAACTTTTGTGTTTTGGTTGTATATTGATAATTATTGAAGTTGAGGAGGACCCATATCCATGCGCTCTTCGCGAAGATTTCAGACAGTTGCAGGTGCGCGAAGTCAGAAAGAGGGATGAAGATGTAGCCTTCTGTAGATTGGAGCGTGCTTCAGATGGGTGGGGCGGGGCGTACATGACTCGGGCTCGCGCTTTGAGGCTGGAGCCCGCGGCGGG